CCCCCGTTCAGGGCCATATATCCACAGTAGTCATCTCTCAAAGTGAGAAGGGAAGATTAAAAAATGTATGTGGCCACCCTTTCTCTCTCTTCTTGCCACCCCTTTCCTCTTTCTGTACTCCCAGCACACTCTTCTGCGAGGGACAGATTACATGTACCAAAAGTCTAACTGATGCCATGTTTAGGAGTTTCCAAACTGAGTCACTGGCCAAACATTCTACCCCATTACAAAGTAAAAGGGGTGGGGAAAGTTAAAGACTATTTATGCCATTATGGTTTTAGAAGCCATATGGTTGGAGGCTCCAGTTAGCTCTCACAAAGGCCAATGTTTTGAGATTTGCCATTAGCCTAAGAGAGTGGATGCAGTTATTGCAAAATATTTAAATTTTTTCCCTTTGATTAGGAAGAAATCTAAAGGAGAATGAGCAGATAACTAATCAAAGCTAGACAGGAATGTTGTGAACTATATTTGTAAATAGAAGAAAATAGCTGCTATCATTAAAGGGGAAAGGTTGGTGCTTGCTTCTCTCTTGGTAGCCTGCCAAAGCTGTTGACTGGATTCTCCTCATGCAGGTGAGAAGAGTCCAAACCATTATAATACACCAAGATTTTAATGTCACAAGTTACAATTCTGATATAGCACTAGTCCAGGTGCAACCTCCTTTCTCCTACAATGCTGTGGTGAGGCCAGTATGCCTGCCCAACTCCACTGAACCTTTGTCTTCCTTCATGCTTTGCACTGTGACTGGCTGGGGAAGTACCCAAGAAGGTAAGTCCATTTTCTCTGTTGAATGTCAATAGTTAACTTTCTTTAGAGCAGGAGTAGGCAACTGTAGTGGGGTCCAGTTTCACCCACACCTCCAAGCTGCATGTGCACTGTGAAGGCGAAGGCTTGCACGGCTGGCATCCATAGTTTTCTGTGGGTTTTTCAGGCTATGTGACCGTGTTCTGGAAGTTTCTTCTTGACATTTCGCCAGCATCTGTGGTTGGCATCTTCAGACTCTTCCAGAACATGGCCACATAGCCCGAAAAACCCACAATAGCCCAAAAAAACCACAAAAAAAACTATGCATGTGCACATTTTGGGCAACCTGGAGGTGACAACACTTAGCTCTGCAAATAAAATTTTGTGGCTCATAAGTGTTCTTATGCCTCTTGACTTCTCCTACAGTTGAGCACCTTGCCAGCCGCTTACAACAGGCTCGAGTACCCATTCTCAAGAATGACATCTGTGAGCAAAGCTATTATGTTAACCACCCTGGGGGGATCACAACCGGAATGCTTTGTGCTGGTTTTGCATCTTCTAGAGGTGAAGATATCTGTCAAGTGAGTTGGCACTAGATGGAGAAGGACCTTGTGGGGTTCACATCTCTCTGCATAAATATCCATTTTACACTTCCTGTGGCTGGCAGTGGAACAAAGTGCACCTTGTCTTGAAAATCTCAATATGTCTGAGGCTTGATAAAGAAAAAAATGTGCAGAAACCATGCTTGCATAATTTAAAATGTACATAACTACATATGTATGCTTACAAATTTTTGGTCAGTGGGGGAAATGGTGGAAAGAAAGTATGCTAGCAGCTAGAACATCGTATTTGGGGGAAAATACACACTAAAATATGCACAGATTTTTGCACAGCAAAAAAATAATAATCTTGCAATCCAATATGGAATTGAGACTGGATAAGATGAAAATACCAGTGACATTGTCAGAAATTTAACTAATAGTTTTTCATATCCCTATCTAACAATGGGAATTATACATTGGTGGAGAAAGGGGAGGTGTATGCTCCAACTGTCCTAATAAATCATCTACTATCCCACTTTTTCAGCTGCTTTTAATATGTCCCAATTTCTCTTTCTTCCTCCCACTTTCCCTTTTTGTCATCTGAGTACTTCAGTTGCTGCAAACTGAGTTCAAAGTGCAAAATAATTTGAATTCAGTTAACTCAGCAGGGGGGAGAGGAGAGGAAGGGGCAGAATCAGTATGTCCCTTCCCAGTGAGCTCAGGCCAGAGCAAACTGCTACAGTCTTTCCTAGCTTGTCTATTTTTTCTCATTAATTATTTTTGTCATCCTCAGTGCACTCTGACCTTGCTTGGTCACACATGTTCTGGTTGAATCTCATTGTGGGAAAAAGGCAGGATATACTGTAAATCTTTTAAATGAAATAAAATAATAAAATTTCACCTGTGAAATGGTTAGAGAGTATGGGGAAATGGCTTTTAGAACATTTCTGGAAGCATACATCAAGCCATGTTTACAGAGGCCACCGCCTGGAAAAATGAATATGCAATGCAAAAGAACAAGTCAAATAAAGCAATTTTCATTTTGCAAACTATTAAAAATGTGGATATATTCAGACAAAAGCTTGGACACTTATGAATCTGAGTTTGATAACCTTACTTCTTGGACTACAGCTCCCAGAATACTCCAGCCAGCATAGCCACTGGCCATGTTGTTTGGGACACTCTAGTAAAGTGGTGGTGAACCTTTTAGAGATTGGGTACCCAAAATGCAACCCAAAATCCACTTATTTATCACGAAGTGCCACATCTCTCTGGCTTTCTAGTA